ACACTAGTCTTTCCCGAGACGCCACGATGGCTCTTGGCAAACGACAGGCGGGAAGAGGCGATTGCCATCATGGCCAAGTACCACGGCAATGGCAACGAGGACTCTCCCATTGTGCAGCTCCAACTCCGTGAAATTACCGAGGATTTTGCTCAAACGACAAACGAGAATGCTTGGTGGGATTTCCGCGAGCTCGTACACACGCGTGCGGCGAGGTACCGATTGGCAATGGTGATTGCCATGGCCTTCTTTGGCCAATGGAGCGGCAACAACGTCGTCAGCTACTTTATGCCTGCCATGGTAAGTCTTGATATGACGACGCTACACCCTTTGATTACACCAGACTAATTCCATGGGGATTTTAGATTAAAAACGCCGGTATTAAAGATCCCAACAAGCAGCTTCTGATCAACGCAATCAACCCCATCTTCTCCATGCTTGCGGCCATTTACGGTGCGACCCTGCTCGACACGCTTGGTCGCCGAAAGATGCTCATGGGCGGTCTCTGGGGCGGTCTCTTTTCCTACATTCTCCTCACCGCATTTACCGCAACCGCCAAGCCGGACAATAACCTCGCGTACGGCACCATTGTCTCCATCTACTTGTTTGGCATCTTCTTCGCATGGGGCTGGACGCCTCTGCAGACGCTCTACTCTGTCGAGTGTCTGGAGAACCGAACTCGCGCCAAGGGTTCTGGCCTCAACTTTCTTTTCCTCAACATCGCCATGGTGGTCAACACGTATGGCATTTCGGTCGGCATGGAGGCGATTGGCTGGAAGCTCTATCTCGTTTACATTGGATGGATTTGCGTCGAGATTGCCGTCATTTTCTTCTTCTTCGTCGAGACTGCTGGCAAGACGCTTGAGGAGCTCAAGGAGATTTTCGAGGCGCCCAACCCCCGCAATGCCAGTCTCCGCAAGACAAAGGTGGAGATTGACTCGAGTGGTCAGGTGCACAATATCCAAGAGTAGACCGAGTACGAGATGATGTGATAACACGCGTTATGAGTTGGGGACGTAGCTATGTTAGGTAAATCTTTTTCTTTGCGAAACTAGAAAACGCAAGTCGTTTTTTGATAATATTATAATGCTCTACATGTCTTTTGTTCCTGGGGGTGCATTGAACGAGGCGGTATACACTTTACCTCCCAATCAAGTAAACGAGAACTAAGTCGTCTTTGGTACGTGGAAAATTATACCGAGTGTTACCCCTCCCTTGGCAACCCCACAAAGTACCAAGCGACATACATGTCCGGCCTGCCAGCACCGAACACTCCTCAACAAGTCCATGTCTCACCTGTAATACAAAGGTGTGTACACACACGCGCGCACAAATCGTACCACCGACGCAGCATAAAGAACAAATAGAAGAGGAGAAGGAAAACACTGCCATTATACATGTGTCCGGAGGTAGAGAAAAAAAAAGGGTCAGCCATGACCCAAAGGGCAGCAAGTACTCATCAAATGGCCGCACCCCCACTTGGAAGGTAAGCCCCTTGTCTCGTTCACCGTTCACAACGCTCCGCGTGGTTTCTCGCCGGAACAAGAAATAAAGAAGGGCAAAAAAAAAGTAGAAAACGTCAAACAGACGGACCCCTAGTAATGTAGTTAAGTCGGCAAGCATGCACGTCAGACGAGAGTGGAAAAGCAAGACCCCGGGTTGGGGAGGGGCCTGACGGTAGGGAGTAGAGCAAAATAAAGGAAAGTGCGCAATGGAAGAAGAAGCATAGTAGGGGAAAAAAGTAAAAAAGGATGAGAATGCGTAAACGCGATTCTCACATGCTTTGCGAATGTTCACCATGTTATTCTGGCCTTTGCGGACGTGTTTTGCTTTTTTTTCTGAATTGCTTTTGTGTTCTCCGGGAAATTGCTTTTGCAGGGCGTTGCTGAAGACATACGGGCGTCGGCCTATTTTTTTGCTTCTCCTTCGTCTTTCCTTTTGCTTACTGCACTCTGCTCTTTTCTAGTCTAGTGTGAGTTTAGCATGATTTCAACATGGCCCCATCTTTGGAGAAAGAGCGGTGGTGGCGGTGGCAATGGGCCAAGTACAAGCGAGGACAAGGGACGCAAGAAGTGATTGGGAATGAGACTGATTTCTTGCAGTAGCCCGGTCGTTTTGTCCAGGTAGGGTGTTCGCAGACGGTGTTGATCATGTGAGATTTGCAAACTAGTGTGTAGCCAGTCTTGCAGAGGCTAAATTTGGACCCGTCTGTTGTCAACCAAGGGGTTAGACAAGGGAGACGGAAAAGTGGAGGTTTTTAATCTTGAATCAAGACAAGGAGAAAGGAAAAGGTACAGTAGGAGCGCGGAGATGCAGATGCAACTCGGGATCATACAAGCACAACTCAGCGTACCTGATTCCACATCCTATCCAATCTCCATTTCGTCCACCATTGCAGCCGCACGCTGCTTTCGCATAGCTTCCTTCTTCACCCTCCTGGCCGAAGCCTTGGACATGCCTTTTCCAGAACCGAGCTTTCGATACTCTTCCAACGACATGCCTCTTCGCTCTGCAGCGGCCATCTCGGCCTGCAATGTCTTGTCTTGAGTAACGTCCTTCATCTTGACGCTATTCCTCTCCTTGCGGGCCTGCATCCTCGCGAGATTCTGACGAGTGCGCTTGTCTGGGTCAAGATTTAGTACAAATAGTCGGAATACTGGTTCACACGTATGACTGTCGAGAAGAAGACAACGTACTCATCTTTTTGCCTGCAGGTTCGGCATCAACCATGATGCTCTGGTCACCGCTTGTTTGCTGATCGGTACCTAAACAAGCTTGTTAGACCTTGCTTCAGCTCGTCTGCCCTCCCCACGTTAAAAGCAACCAAACGTGCAGAGCGACCGCATGAACTGGCAGTGAGCCACAGCATGTGACTTACCAGTGAGTGCATGGGCCGTCGGTGCCGAAAAGGCATCACCCAAGACATCGACTAGCTCGTCGGCCAATGCGCCCATTTTGCGTCGGTCCTTTTGTTTTTTCTTCTTGGATTTCTGTGCAGGTACCTGACCGTTGGCCTGGCTGGGTGAAGGGCTCCGTTTGCTGTGTTGTGATTGGTCGCTGTCGCTCGCCTCTGAAAATTGGTCTTCACCCAGTCGGAATCCTGTGTTCGCAGCCATGACTGCTGTCGCTGTGCTTGTGCGTGTGCTTGCCACCAGAAAGGCAGCCGGTATGCTCGATAGATCAAAGACGAGTAGAGCAAGTATGCATAGAAGGTAGCAAAAGCAGAAGCAGAAGGTGGAGTCAAGGTAAGAAGCAACGGATCGGCACTAGTTTTTTCCGGCGCATGTGATTCGATCATCAGTCTGTATTATCGAGGTACCAAATGCTTGTGTCGCGTTAACGCGCTCTATCATCTAGCCCGTTTTCCGCCTTTTGACATAATGTAAAATGCTATGCACAAATGCCGCCCTAGAGTCCAAAACGAAAATAGAAAAAAAGGGATACCAAGGAATGACGTGTGGGGAAAAAATGGATAGCCCGCATGAGGAGCGTGGGAGAAGGTTAAGAATATAATCAAAGGAAATTCGTCAATCGTGAATGCATATCCAAGCACCCGGTGTAGCGGCCGATGTAGCCAGTCCTGTTGCGCCCAACTCCAATACCAAAGCCGTGTTGACCCCAACTCCAGCCAAAGCCAATGCTACTCGTTGTCCTCATCGTCCACGAAGAAGCCCCAAAAGAGAACCTCTTCGTTTTCGCATCCTTGCAGACGGCCTCGGTATATGTCTGCGCACATTTCAATGGGCACCTCGAGCTTGATGCAGCCATTACCGAGAAAGGTAAAAAGCAACCACGAGTCGTACTGGGGCAAGGCACCGTTGTCCTCGGGCTTTCTGCTGAGTATGCCGCGGTTTTGGAGAGAGGGCCCGGTGGGGAGGCGGAATGTGTGGTACGGCAGCGTCTCCTCCGAGTCGGCGACGAAGAAGGAATCGTTGAGGGCAAGCTCAACCGAGACCCTGGACGGCTGCGACTGGTCTTGCGAGGCTGCGTCGGTGTGTTGGACGGCCGAGTTATTGTGAAAGCGCAGAGTACCGAAGCGTAGATAGGCGGGCTGGCCCAAGAGGTCAAAGAGCTCTGTCGAGTAGAGGCGGAAGTAGCCATTGTACAGGGAGCCCAAGCGGCTGCCGTCGTCGGCATCGGCATCGGCATCGGCATCGGTATCGGCGTCTGCGTCTATAGTTCCATTGAGAGAGAGGGTTTGCAGTTGGTCCTCGACTCGTTTCCCCTCCAATTCGGCGGCGTTGAGCGAGCGGCGGATGTACGTGGGCGTGTACTTGTTGCTCAGATCGGAGATGGCCAGCCGGCATGCCTCGCGGCGGACGCGGTCGCTCGAGGCGTCCTTGAGATGTAATGTGTCGGCAGCGGTGCCGTCTTGGTCGTCGGCGAGCGAGCGTAGCAAGCCAGCCTCGAAACTCTCAACGAGCTCCTCGAACTCGCGCATGACCCGGGCAAGGGGCGAGGAGTGGGGTGTGGGGGATTTGGCGTCGCGCGAGGGTCGGTCGCTCTTGAGGAGGGCCATGAGGGGGAAGCCCGAGGGCGGTCGAGGGCGTAGTCACGGGGGGACAGGAGCGAGTGCGTGGAAATATGGGAGGGGAGGTGGCGATGGTGCAGTGTGGTGTGGAGGGGGGGTGGGGGTGTAAGTGGAGATGCAGCGGTGGCTCTGAAGGGTGCAAGACCGGCTGGCACTGGTGAGCAGGCGTAAGGCGGAGGCGGTGGTGGTGGTAGTAGTGGTGGTAGCGGTGGAGGTGGAGGTGGAGGTGGTAGTGTAGAGTAGTCGGGCGGACGGGGCAGCAGAGTAACAGTAACAGTAGGGGTGTGGGCAGGGAGGGCGGCCGTGCAATTCGTGAAAAAAGGGTCTTGTAAATCGGCCGTTAGTCGTGACGGGCAAGTCGCCAAACAACAGCAACAGCAGCAGCAATGGCGGCCTGGACGTGCATCAGGATCAGGGGACAAAGGGCTGGGGGACGTGGAGCGAGGCAGCACGAGATTTTGACGCGGCTCGCATGCGCCAAGAAGCTGGGATAGATGCTTCCTCTTCCAGTCTTCCAGCCCGCCGGCCTGCGCTACTGCATCCCCGGCCAATCACCGCCGCCGCACTCGCTGGTGGGCGATGCGCTGCGAGGGCCGCCTGCGTGCAGCGACTCGCCCTGGCCGGCTGGCGGGCAATGAGCAATGGGGCTGCAGCGGTCAACCGTCGCATCCAGTCAACGGGCGGCCAGCCAGGGGATGCTAGGTGGGGGGAGGGGTGGCTCGCCGGTTGTTGCGCACTATGCTGTGTGTGTGTGTGCGTGTGTGCGTGTATATGTGTGTGTGGTTGCGAGTGTGTGAGGTGTACATGGTACATGGTGCATAGTTAGTCGATGGACAGGAGCATGTGTGCGTGTGCGTGTGCGTGTGTGAGAGAGTGTGTGTGGTGTGCATCGACAAGACCCAGGCGCCGCTCGTTCTCTTTGTGGAGCCAGCGAACCACGCTGTCGGTAGCCAATCACACGGCCCCAATAACCGGCCCGTATCGAATTGGCTGGGGCGGGCCGATGAGACGAGACACGCACTCGACCTGGGCGGCTGGCCCGGCGACGACGAGCTTGCCGACGGCGGCAGCACACTGAAAGTGCTAGTACTACATGTAGCATCCATCTGGACGCGAATATTCAAATACACTACACACTCGGATACTATCTAGTACAAAAGCCACAAGACATGCACTTACAACTTACTCGATACACCAAGTACACACACACACACACACACACCCTCCCTCAGCCTCTTCTAGCATAGCCTCGTCCCCCTCAGCTTCATTCCTCGCCGCCCACCCTCGCCACGCGCAACCTCACACAAAAGGCATCCCAATGTCTCGGGATCCGGCTGTACGTCGGCAGCTCATATGTACCTGCCTCAGCAACGTCATCCGCTCTTGCCCTACATGCGCTTCCCTGCCCTCTCCCATCCGCACCCCATCGCCTCGCGTGTGTGTGTGCGTGCAATCTTCAGCCTGTTTCTATTCTTCGCCTCAGCTTACATGTCGACACATGGTTACGTCACTGCTGACCCCTCGTCCAGCTGCTGCCTTGTCTTCAGCCTAACATGTACTTACTTACATACTACTATGTACACACGACTTGGCCCTTCACCCCATGTCTGACGAATCATCCGACATCATGACTGATCTCGCTTCCCGACCTCCACCCCCATGTTGATTTTGTCCTGTTCTTGATCCCAATCCTCACAGCCCGCACAAAATCAGCACTACCTATTCACTACGTGCGTACACCATACTAGCACTAACTTGCCGCAAGACGCAACCGAGGCACCTTTCCCCCCACATCATCCTGCTCTTCCCCACACTTGCACACAAACTACTAAACACACGGACACACAAACCAACAAGCTCGCTCACACTCACTCTCACCCCCTCCAACGTCGGCACTGCTTCTTCGGTGCCATCACCCTGCCTGCCCTCTGCCGGCCAAGCACGTGAGAAATGGCGCCATATCCCCAGTTACATCGTTTCTATGATGACTACTAGCCCCCCCCCCACCACTGATAGCAAGGCCAAAATCCCGCCCACATGCCAATCCATACCCTCTGCCCTTGCCTGCACAGGGTCAGCCCGGCTTCTCTATCAACAGCCCATGGCCATAGGCCCACTCGCCCCAGCTTCTAGCACAGGACTATGGTTCATGTGCCATCAACCTCCCGTCCCACGCTCCTCGTTGGTCTTCCTCGTCAACCCCCCTTGTCCATGTGGGCATCGGATGGCCCTGCTTGCCGGCCCTCTTTCCTCAACCGGGCAAACTACTCCTCTTACCACGTCAGGTCCATCTGCCGTCTGGTGCACTCCCAACTCTATCCCACTGCGCTTTACTTGATGCATCAACTTTGAACAAAAGCTTTCCAACAACATGGTCACACTCCTATTTCATTACATCAATTTTATACAGACAACAACAAAAGATTCATCAAAACTCAAGTCACGCTTGCGAAATAGTCACATCTATTACACAATCGCTGCATAGTGCTTGAGCGTCCTTGTCCGGACACCAGTTGATGATGAAGACGATGATGACGACGCCACCGCCGCAGCCGTGCCAGCAGGCACCATATATGTTTTGTAGTCCAGCACATCCGTCATCCAGTTGTCCGCATCGATGCTCGCCATGGCGTGGTTGAGCAGAGCCAGTTGATCACTGCGACGAATGAATCATTATGATGATCAAAGCTTTTCTTTCTTTTCTTCTTTCTTTCTTTCTCGCTTGCTTGCTTGACTCCAACTTGTTCTCTGCAAAAAAAAAGACCCTCATACAAACAGAGGAAATGGTAAAATGGACAGAGTACGAACAAATTTACCTTTTGGTAAACCGCTTGACGAGCTCGAGATCGCGCTCGTGCTGACCGGCTATCGTGTAGAACCAGTAGTTGCCTGCCTTCTTCCACCACCGGTTCGGCAAGTATGCTTCACTAACATATCAAGTCAGCGCCCAAACAATCTGTCCAATCAATTGGCCCTTCACACGTACAGCATGTAATACTCATCTCTTTGGTACGGAAATTCTAGGCTTGGCGGCCCATGCTTGGCTAGAAACGCATCCGTTCCCGATACTGCCTCTGCTGCCGTCATTTCCATGTGCATCCGCCGGTTACCTGTGTTCCTCGAGTGTCGCCGTATAGCCCGCACCGTGCTGTCAAGGTGCAGTTCCAGGATGGCAGCGTGCCACAGCGAGTTTTCAACCGCTTTGCGCGCGATGCGGGCGTGGCGCGCAACAAGCTCCCTGTTCCATTCTGGCCACTGTCCACGTGGTATCGTGGGTATTGGAATACCTGTGTCAAGATGGCCTTGCCAATGTGCAAAGTCGAGTACCAGCCCGAGATTGTTCCAGGTCAGAATACACGTCAGACACGTACACACCTGGTGCGCATCTGGCGACTGGATGTGCTGGTACGGCCGGTTGTGTATGCTGAGTTGTGTCTGCCGCCCGGGGTCGGTGAGAAGAGCCTGCACAGCTGGATCGACGTCGCTGAGAAGCTTGGGTGTGGGAAAGCATTCCACAAGGATGCTGTAGCGGCGTGCTATGATGGCATCGCCAATGACATGCGCATTCACCTCGACCAGCTCGTACAGTCGCCGGTTGACAAAGCTGACGTTGAAGACATCGCGCGGACGAAGGTGTTTAAGACATTCTAGCAGTAGTTCGGTAGGCAACTGTGAGAGATTGACAATGGCGGCACGCTTCTGCTGTCGCGCTGCATTCTTACGCTTCAGGCGCTCCGTCTTCTTGTTCTTGATTGCGAGTACTGCCGTGTTGTCCTCAAGCGGCTCGTCATTGTCGCTGTCATAATTTCGTGGCATCTTTCAGGATGAGGTGTAGTTGTCTAGCAGTGACGGCATAGTGTGCCGCTGAGTTGCGGGGACGCATGCGCCAACCAATCGGAGATAACCGGGTTCCGTCTGCCTGATGCCCGATGCTCTCATGACACAGCCGTTGCTCAACCACCCAAAAGATAGAGTGGTGTTCGGCTACAAATATGTAGCAGCAAAGAAGCAATGTGGAAAATGAGAGTGGTAGACTACTACACGTTGTATCGTTGGCAAAACTAATCAAAGCGAACAGCAACTTCAGCTCAAGCCGCGATAATCATGCCCCACCTGCCCGTTTCTTCCCCGTGACACCCTTGAAATTTTGCACCTCGTCTTACTACAAAGCTGCACAATTGGCAAGATGGGTTCCAGGCTAGGAAATATGTATATCAATCTAAAGTCACCCCATGTGACAATCACGACTTTGTCCACCAGCTTTGTAATCTCGCCACGAAGCATTTCTCGTGGGCGAACATGCAACCTGTGGCTCACGTTATACGGGGACCTGATTGGCCACTTCTCAAGTACATCGGCCAAAGTTGGAGATGGCGTCATGCTTCATTTCTAAGCAGCGGCAATAGTAGGCCACACATAAAGTCTACCTTCACACGTTCGTCTTCTCACAAATCACTGAACCTCCATACGCCCAACATGACAACGGCCAGCTTTTCTCACATTGACACAAACTCTTATACGGGTAAGCCCTGGGGCAAGGTAGACGGGCCAGGCTCAAACTTCAGCAATCAATGGCATGAGCGCTCAGTACACAACCTTCGTGGCCGTGAACATGAGTTTAACACGGACAATTCTGGGTTTGCAGTCTACCAATCCCCCGCCAAAGAGAAACTCTTCACCGACGACACTGCTGTCCGAGATGGATACTACAGCGAAGTCGAATCTTTACTGCGAGAAAGGCTTCCTGGAATCAAGAAGGTCGTCATATTCGACCACACCATCCGAAGACGAGATAAAGACTCTCCTCGCCAACCCGTCCAGCAGGTTCATGTCGACCAGACACCTGCTGCGGCAGAAGTGCGTGTCCGCCGGCACTTGCCAGCAGAAGAAGCCGAGGAGCTCCTCAAAGGCCGCTACCAAATCATCAACGTTTGGCGACCCATTGGCCATGCTGCTTCCGACCACCCACTCGCCGTGATCGACTGGCGCACAACCTCGCCCTCTGACTTCGTCGCCACCGACCTCCTGTACCCCAAGCGCGCAGACTCATTGGACCTGGACGACCGCGGCAAGGAAAAACTACCTGACCCCAACAACTACACTTCTACCGAAGGCTACGAGGCCAGGGGCGAAACATTAGCCGTAGCCCCAAACGACAATCACAAGTTTTACTACCAAAAGGATATGACCCCTGACGAGGTGATGCTGCTCAAGTGCTTTGATAGCTTCGGCGAGGGCATGCCCTCGGGAAAGAAGGGACTCTCGTTACGAACACCGCATACAGCTTTTGCAGACCCCAATACGCCTGCAGATGCACCGGGAAGACAAAGCATCGAGGTTAGATGTTTGGTGTTTTACGAATAGTCATCTGGTAATCAAGCATACATATGTGGAAGTGAAATGTGTATTCTAAGCACGAAAGCGAATAATTAGAGTTTTTTTTTAAAAAAAAATGAAAAAAAATGAAACATTACTATGAAACAATGTCCTTCTGCCTCGTCTACGGAATCAAATACCAATTCTTCATTCCACATTTCGAGAGAAAAAAAATGTCACGTGACACTGGTGGACACTACAACAGTTCTCCCCACTGTACATGTACAAAGCTAACAATACCCAAACACGCCCCACAACTTGCACGACAATACTGTATCCGAGGTACTAACAGTCTTGTTACGTGTCATGTGGTCGCCCACACTGTCGGCTCCTTGTTAGTACGTGGCTAGCCAGTCGAGTAAGGGGGATGGGTAAATCATCTACGATGAACGTGTGGAAATCATATGCATGGGTACTTTGAATGGTGGGTACTACAACATCCAATCAGAGCGTGTCGCTTCTGAGAGTCTTTTTTTTATAAGGTTCCGCTTAGGTTGATGACATCTTGTCTGACAGTAAGCAACGGGTACTAAAGCTAAGTTTGCTAATGATAGATTTTCATTACTACGAAGTAAGTACGAAGCTAGTAGGCAACGATCAAAATTTAAACTTTACTGCCTCCTGTTACCGTTGTCTCGAAGCGCACTTCGGTAGAGGACAGTTCAAACGAGTCGTGTTCTTCAGGTTTCCAGAAATGTCGGTCTCCCCTCACTGCGCGTACACTAAAAATGCCATGTTAGTAAACGATTGAGTAGGGTACATCTGGAGTGCAAATACTTACACCCAAGGTTGAGAGTGATAATCCGTAGCCACTGTGCAAATCATGTAAGTATAGAACAATCATATCGTAGCAGTGAGTGGCACTTACAACTCCAATACTCCTTATCGTCGTAGTCAGGAGGAAGGAAACGTCCACCGGAAATTGCTCCAAGGAACCAGGTGGCGGAGTTGATGCCAGCATATGTTATGATGCCAGCGACAAGACCGTAGGCAAGCGAGAACGAGAATGGCATGAAAACAAGTGTTACAAAGGCAGGAATGCAGTCGCCAGGCTGGTAATGTTAGTCATCAAATATGCAATAGTAATGTGATATGCGACTCACGTATTTCCAGTTGATGTTCGTCACACCGCGCATCATCATGCATCCAACGATGATCAAAGTGCCACCAGTGGCCCACGGGGGAATCGAAGCAAAGATTGGACCAAAGAACAAAGAGACGATGAAGCAAAATGCCGTCATACACGCCGCCAGGCCTGTGCGGCCACCTTCTGCAATACCAGTCTGATCACGTTAGCATGGCGCCAATTGGTAATGAGAAAACTAGTTACTTACGCCAGACTCGACAAACACAGTGACAGGAGACACTCCAACGAGAGACCCGAGCACAATGCAGACGGAATCAGTAGTGTACGCAAGGGCGCTGCGCGGAAAATCACCCGTATCGGGGTCCACGATGCCGGCGAAGCGAGCCATAGAGTACAAACTTCCAGTCGCATTGAGAATATCAACGTAAAGCATAGTGAAGACGGCCAGGGCAAAATGCCAACCCTCATTCGACAAATTCCAGTCCTGGATAACCAAAGTTTTTCGGATAGAAGGAACCTCGACTACATTCTTGAAGTAATCAAAGCGGCTATTTCCTTCAGCTGTCCGGGGGAAGTAGGTAAGTGATGTATCACGGGGCCAGGAGACGATGGATACCAGCAAGATGCCGATGATCATGGCGCCTCGGACTCTGTGTGTTATCAAGATAGCAGTGAACACGCCGCCAGCAAGAAAGCCGAGCCACATGGTATGACTGCTCGCCCTACCCGAGGTACATAAGCCTGTGACTGGGTCCAAACGATCTTGAGGACAGCCAGCCAGCTCAAGGGGCAGGAAATCTCCTCCTGTGACAGCACCAACTCCTTGGGTATACGAGAGACCGAGCAAAGCAAGGAAAAGGCCGATACCACCACCA